CCCCGTGACAGCGGACGAGCTGAGAGGGAGGAGACTTATAAGATAAGCACGCTACCAAAGACAAAGACTATTAGACCGGCATTAAAGACAAGCTACCCGATCCTGAATACGGTGTAGCCCCATAAAGCCCCCCCCCCCCGCATTTAACGTCGTGACATGCAATTAGTGCTACTATGAAGGCATTTATCAGATATGACAAATGTATCAGATGACCATGTTGTCTCATTCATAACCATAACTAATACCTCATGTACTGTTGGGGATAGTGACATACAACTAATACTATAATGATGTTGTCTAACAAGATATATTACCAAAATAACAATCATATCACAAAGAGCAGCCCAGATCACTGCTAGTTATGTTTTTAAATACTGTATTTGTTCTATTAGAAGTGAGAGGCAAGTCTATTGTCAACAAGATATAGTTTAATGATTTGTGAGTTGTGCTTCTAATATAATAATAATAACTTTATTACACTACCAAACCATCAGTGGGTTCAGTATGGTAAATACAAAGTATTACAAGACTAGGACAATTCTAAATACAATACAATACAGTAATAGAAAATACAATCAATAAAAATAGGAATAAAATATAGACTGAGTTAAATAAATGTTAAAAATAATTACTAGAATGAATACAATTAAAACAAAACTGATCTAAATATAGTACTAGTAATTTAGTCCTACCAGCCCCCTCCCATAAGTGAAGTGATTAATTATTTTGGCTTAAATATTGTGCTTTTTAAAAATTTTATAGAGGTATACTGTTATTTTCACTGTTGATTTTAGAGAAGATGTATGTGTTATTATTTGTATTTTTAATGTCTTCATTGCACTCTCGAAATAATACCTCTCTCTTTTTATTGAAGTGTGTGCATTTCAAAATAAGGTGTTTTTCATCATCTATCTCATTGTCATTACACCTTGTACATATTCTCTTCTCCAGTTGTGTTTTTGGCGTTGTTCTTCTGCCTAATTCAATTCCTAAATTTGATCGCTCAAACGAAATTTAAACAGACATTGCCTTTGAGTAAAATAAGTAATTATTTTCAAGTAATTTTCCATTTGAAATTAAAAATACTATATGTTCTTAATTTGTTACCTTGTCCAGTTGTGCTTTTGGTATTTCCATGTCTGTTTATATGTATCTGTCAGCTTGA